GCCGGCTTGACAAAGCCGCGGGAAAAAAAAGGTTGGCTGTTGGCCAGTACTTTGTAGTCGCGACTCGAACGAAATTCCTGCCAGAATCTTTCTTCGTTTCAACGAAAATCCTTTACATCGTGCTTTAACGTTGCGTATCGCCTCGTCGAAACCGTACAGCGTTCCATCATCCGTAAGTGCTCTCCATTGCATGCAGAACCGCGTGTACCTTCTAATACGCACCGTCTCGTTGTTTCCACGATTCCGTTTGTATAGCTTCCACGACGAAACGTTCAACGGTACGTCGCGGAAAAGTAATTTCACCAGGAATAGATATCTCTGTTTCGTCATCCACGGGTAAACCGAATCTGTCGAGTGGTTGTATCTAGACAAGGGGAACTCTTAACTGTGCGTACTTAGCACGTACCGGTTTGTACCTGAATTACAATGAAAACCGTTGTTACGGCCATGTATCCACTGTATACACCGTTGTTCAGTTTCGGAACGTCATCAGCGTACTCTTGTCGGTACGTTCAAAAGTTCTACACAGTACTCTAGGACGGTAGAATTCAAAGAGTGCTTGAACCTTTCTCTCGTGTCTCGACTACTATACGCCTTGTTCGTAGGGTTTCTTTTTCGACCGGTATTTACTGTCGCACAGCCGCTCCAATTTTCTCGTTGTTGTTGTAAGTCGAGTACGGCAATTTCATCCATGCGATCGCGACGAGGCTCTGATTACAAATTGCGCTCGCATTGATTTTGCATCGTGAAATTTAGCTCGTTCCTCGTGTTCCTATGGTTATTCGAAGTTGCTCGTTAAACCACACGATGCTGTTACGTAGTTTCTTTTCTACCCTCTTTCGTTATTAAAAGTAACGAAAGAAGACGGCAACTGACATTATTACGGAAAGTGATTTTTACGGGTTATCGACGCTGCGAAATAGAGGTTCGTTCAAACGGAGAGATAGTTGCATTATACGGATCGTCGATAATGCCACACGAATGAACTATTTTGATCGAAATCACGCGTCTCAGCATTCGCGGCTATTTGCCGAGCAACGTCAGAAATTTCTATGACGATATCGAAATCCAACTTTCTAAATCATATTTGATTACGTAATTTCGAAGTTGGAATACGCAAAGTTATGTCCGTGTCAATCCCCAGCTATTGATTATCGCCGTTATCTTTTATCTAGGACGCATGATAATCGTTAAAGTCGTGTTCCGTAACTAAGAATAGCCTGTATATTGTTACAACGAAGAAAACGATCGCTTACTCGCGATGATATACAATAAAAGTTTAGAGAAGATACTGAGAAAAATCGGAGACTTTATCGTGAAACGATATATTTAGACCTGGATTTGCAGTAAGAGGATATTCCCTGGCTTTCTGTAAATTTACTTTTCTATAAACGCGAGTTTGTTTACGTTTTCCAACAAAGACGTTAAACGATCGTTGTGACTCTGTAATCTTCTAAGATCTGCTTTGGCTATATTCCATATCTTATTGAAAAAAAGCTAGAAAGAAGATACGCATATGGGATTCAAATTCCTATACTCTAACTTTTCTATCGATTGACTGGAAGATTGAAAAAAAATTACAGGACATTTTAACGACAGTTTTAATATTATTATTTATGGTTGTATTCAAATGCACTAACAGTAAGTATTGTGTATTGTATACTGCTTTATACATATACATAAGTCTACATACTCCTTCATACGATACATCTAAGAAATTATTGATTTTCTACTTGTTATCGTTATTTCCATCGAATTTGTCACTAAAGTAGTCAAACATCTCTTAGAAATGATTCTTGGCAAAAATAGTTTTATATTAATCAAACGAAGCAAGCTCTTAAAATATTTTCTTGAATATAACGTAATCTTATACTAACTTACAACGTCAGAACCATGTGTTTTAAACGAAATGCGATTAAAATCTCCAAACGTATAATTAATCGAAAACCACACAGAATAATACAAGTTTGTTTTTGTTGATTTCCCGACCTTTATATCGTTTCATGGCTAATTACAACACTTGCTGTATTATTAATGCTGAAAACATAAAAGTAAAGTCGACCACCGTACAAATAGACGACATCGCTGTATCTCGATGATAGACTCGCCGAATCTGTTAGCGTCGAGAGACTTTAACTTTTATCCGAGTCAAAAACGGGGGAAAAAAAGAAAGAAAGAAAAAGAGAGAAAAAGGAATAAATCGGCGTAATGCATGGCGCGACAGCATTCAAAGGCGTGTTTATCCACGTATGTGTAATCCAGAGCGCGGAATACGTAGAGCTGCCAATAGGGCAATCCCTAGCCGCGCACACTTAGCACGTACTAACTGTAGTTACCGTTACATCGCAAGTGTACGTGTCGTGGGAGCGTAACAAGGGCGCAAGTCCCGGCATCGTGCCACTTCGCCACGTATACTACCTGCGTGGCATGCACGTTAGCTACGTAGGTAAGTGGATGCATGGAATTTATCGAAGACCACCAGACGTCACGGCATTTGGCCCCGTATCGGACTCCAACGTGAATCAATCCTGTTAATTACTTAAGGATTAGATGCTGCTGGTCATCTCGTCGTCGAGATCCATCAAAACGCGAGCTTGCCGTTCTTCTTCTTTATCGAGCCACCCATTCCTTGCTCCCCTGCCCTCCGTTACTTTTCCTTAGCTCGTTCACGTTCGCACACTTCCAGCACTTATCTTGGGGACGCACGCAACGTGCCGGATACATCGACCGTTCTGGGAGCAGGGAATTTTTGCTTTCACGAAGGTGTTAAGGTTCCACGTTTCTCGACCAAACGACTCGTTTGGGGTAACGAAGACATCCCAGTGGCA